GCAAAGCGCTGCTATCTTTGCAGCGGTGCAGCGCTGCTGCTGCTGCTGCTGCTGCTGAGGGGCCCCCCTTGCCGCTGCTGCTGCAGCAGGGGGCCCTCGAGCTGCTGCAGTGGCACATGGGGAAAGCAGCAGCAGCAGCTGCTGCAGCAGCAAAGCCTGCTGACGCTCTGCAGCTGATAGAGCTGCTGCTGCAGCTGCTGCAACCACCAACGCCTGCTGCTGCCGCTGCCACCGCGCAACCCGAAGCAGCAGCAGCAGCAGCAGCAGCAGAACCACCAACAGCAGCAGCAACAGCAGGAAATTTGCTGCTGCGGAGCAGCTGGCTGCCGGGGTTTCTAAAGTGCCTCATAACTCACCTACAGAACAAGACAGCAGCAAGCAGCAGCAGCAGCAGCAACAGCAACAGCAGCAGCAGCAACAGCAACACCAGCAGCAGCAGCAGCAGCGGCAGTTTCGGGCCAGATGGATGGCTTTCTTTGCTTTCTTTTGCTGCTGCGCTGCAGAGGGTTTGTTCAACTCTAGAGACACCCCAAGGTGCAAACCCTAAACCCTACACCGTAAACCCTAAACCCTAAACCCTAAACCCTAGGATTTGAGATAATAATTTGCTGCTCACTTCTTTCCTTTTGAGGGCTTGCGACTTGGGACCTAGGGTTTAGAGTTTAGGGTTTGTGTGCAGGCCCTGAGTTGCTGCTGCTGGCTCAGCAGCTGCTGCTGCAGCTGCTGCGCATAGAGAAGCTGCTGCTGCTGCGCGTTTTGCTGCAGCCAGCACAAAAGCAGCAGCTCCGTAGGACTTTGAAAGAGTGAGTGAAAACCCTTGGGTTTAGGGTTTAGGGTTTAGGGTTTGGCGTCTATGTGGAGGGTTTAGGGTTTAGGGTTTAGGGTTTAGGGTTTTTGTGCTTGCAGCCTCGGCCTGCCTGATCCCACAGCGCAGCCCCAGAAGCCTTGAAGTGGAAACTCTAGGCCCCGCTAGGGTTTAGGGTTTAGGGTTTAGAGTTTAGGGTTTGGTTGCGGCAGCGCAATTTTTTTTGCTGCTGGAACGAACGAACGGCAAAAGACTTAAACCCATTCTTTGCCACTTGCATCTTGGCTTTTGTTGCTCCTAGTGCTGCTGCTGCTGCTTCTGCTGCTGCTGCGGGTGCTTCTGCTGCTGCTGCTGCTGCTGCTGCTGGAAGGCTGAGACACCGGGGCGGGCGTCGTCGGCAGCGGCTGCAGCTTTTGCTGCTGCGGAGCCTTCAGCAGCTCAACTTACTTGAAATAAATGATTAAAATGCATTTAAGTTGTCTTTTTTGCTTAAATTGATTCAAAAAGGGGAAAATGGAGAAAAACGCATTTGGATGAGTCCTGCGGAGCTGCGCATACACCCCAGCCCTGGCGCGGACACCGCGCCTTGCGAAGTGTCTGCATCATTTATAATGGCTTTTGTCTATTTAATTTATTTAATTTAATTAATTTAATTAAACTCGAAAGTTTTTCCGGTTTTTTGCAAGCCGCAGGCAGCCCAGAGGCCCCGGGGGCCCCTGCTGCCTCTGCTGCTGGCTGCTTCTGCGTTTGCTGGGGCCCCAGGGGAGATGAGTGCACCTGATGTTCTAAACCCTAAACCCTAAACCCTAAACCCTAGAGCTTTCCCCGAATGGCGCGGCTCAAGCACAAGCCTTCCCGGGGGCCTGCGGCAACACGCACTCACCAGCAGCAGCAGCAGCAGCAGCAGCAGCAGCAAAGGAGGAGGCCCTCAGCTTCCTTCCCCAGCAGCCCAGAGAGCGGCAGCTCCTCCTCGCCTTCGCCGACCCCTGCTCGCAAGGGGGCCCTTCAAGGGGGCCCCCCAGGGGGCCCCCCAGGGGGCCCCCCAGGGGGGCCCCCCGAGGGGCCCCCAGGGGGGCCCCCAAGGGGGCCCCCAGTGCGGAGGCAAGTTGGAGTTGGCCACCGCGCTAGAGCCCACCCAGGGGTTAAGGCCCTTAAGGAAATCCGCAAATACCGAGTGAGGGTTTAGGGTTTAGGGTTTAGGGTTTAGGGTTTAGGGTTTGACTGGAGGAAAGGAATGCGGAATGCCTGAAGTATGTGGCCAAGGCGTAGGGTTCAGGTTGAGGGTTTAGGGATTAGGGTTTAGGGTTTAGGGTTTAGGGTTTGGGGTTTGCGGGTGCAGAACAGTACAGAGCTGCTGATTCCTCGGTCTCCATTCTTTCGCCTTGTGAGAGAAGTGGCGCAGAAGTTCACGCCGCCCTATGCGGGCATGTACAGGTGAGGGTTTAGGGTTTAGGGTTTAGGGTTTAGGGTTTAGGGATTAGGGTTTGTAGCTGCAGCACGCAGCTCCGCAGCGGATTCGAAAGAGCAGTCCTGAGCAGCGACAATAAATGAGCAAACATAAAAAGAACAAAAACGCAGGCCCCAGCCCCAAACCCCAAACCCCAAACCCTAAACCCTAAACCCTTTTTTGGTGTTTAGGTTCACGGCCACTGCGCTGGAGGCGCTGCAGTCTGCAGCAGAGGCCTTTCTTGTGGGGCTTTTTGAAGACTCTAATTTGTGTGCTTTGCATGCAAAGAGAGTTACAGTAATGCCGAAGGACTTGCACTTGGCCAGGAGAATCCGAAGAACCTAAACCCTAAACCCTAAACCCTAAACCCTCGGGCCCCGCCCGCGGCGCGCTGCGGCGCCGCCGCGCGCACAGCACCCAAACCCTTAACCGTTGAACCGCCGCGGCAGCAGCAGCAGCAACAGCAACAGCAGCAGCAGCAGCGGCAGCAAATGTGCCCTAGGGTTTACGCCGAGGGTTTGGGGCCTAGGGTTTAGGGTCTGGGGTCTGGGGTCTGGGGTTTAGGGTTTGGGCCCAGAGGGAATTTGTAGACACCGCAGCGCTTCATTTGCGGTAGGGAACACTGAATTATTTTGGCGCCGCTGCTGCTGCTGCAGCAGCAGCAGCAGCTGCTGCAGCAGCTGCTGCAGCAG